CCAGCCAGAACCCCCTCCACAGCCTCGCCAGCCAGAACCCCCTCCACAGCCTCGCCAGCCAGAACCCCCTCCACAGCCCCATCGGCCAGAACCCCTCTACAGCCTCACCAGCCTGTACCCTATTTGCTGCCGCGTTTAGCGTTGCCCCTTCAGCACTTCCAGTACCAAGCACCTCCTCCACAACTCCACCCCCGAGATGGTGGCGTGGTGGCTACATTCTCGTGCCACGACGCGGGTTTGGAAGACTTCCTCTCCACAAGGTAGTCCGAAGGAGTCATGAAGCTTTCCGCGAGTACGTGACAGTCACCTTGCCCGAAATATCCAGGGAATTCCGACAAAGCATAAGGTACTTTAATCAGTGCTTGGAAGCAAATATGGACGTACAACCAGAACTCTGATAAGACAGGAATATTAAGTATATGAGGTGATTAAACTAGATTGAAAAGTCAACTGAGCTTTTTTGTGAGTTTCTGATTTTTGTGTCACAGGTTAGTAACAAGTCTTCCCCATAAGGCCCCAATATTTCCTCATCAGCGCGCGGGTCAACTTTTTAAAATAAAATGTTCAAATTTAAATGGTCATGTGAACGACAGTTTTATGGATTGTTTGTGTGAGAAACATCTTGTCCTATGTAAACTTGTATCTTTCATAGGAAGCCTTATTTCGATTCTAGAAAGCGGCTCACTGTTGAGTTTGTTTCCGTATTATAGCTGTAAAGCAGATTGTCGCAACGCAGTTTTTCTTTTTCCCAGTCTTAACACACTGAATATAAAGAAGCTGCGGTTTTTGTTACTACATGTTTTTACATGTAATTTTAATGTGTTTTTGTGATGTTATAACGTCAAGGTTAACCAGACGTTCGACTCGTTTAAGTTCTTAGATAAAAACTAGCAAAACCAATAAATTTGCACTTTAATTTTCTTTAGGAAACGATTTTCAATGCTAAAATTTGACTTTCAGTAAATGCTATTGCATTCTGAGGGCTAATAAGGTTCTATACTACAGAAAGTCATCAGTGAACACATTCCTCATGCAAATTAAGCCGGTAATGAATAATGCACTACTGTTCATTAATTAGTAATGTTGATGAAGCAGACGTCGTACGTGACTTGGTGCGAATGTTGTGCACGTCCCCATTGTATTTCACTGCTTTTGATTGGTTAAAATTTTGTGCACGGTCTACTGATTGTCTAATACGTTTGATAAACCGTCGAAACGAAAGAAAGCCAGTTACCCAAGAGAGGCCACAGCTCACGCTCACATTCACTGTTTGAATAATTTTTTCAATGACACAGTACCTGCACCTGTCTCCAAACTGTCTCGCAAATTATTCAGAACTCTGCTATGACTACCAGCAGTACTTATTGTGAATGGAAAAATTCTGATCAATCATCAAAATAATCTGCAAGCTGCTCCAAGCTACAGTAGGCCCTACGACTAAAAGACACCAGAGCACTAATTGCATGCACAATTTTGGAGTAACCTTTCCTTATGAATTATCCAAGGAATTAGCTTGTATTGCAACAAATAAAAATAAACCTTTACTTACAAGATTTGCGGGGCGGGGCATTGGTGGGGTTAGGTGGTTGTGTGGTGCAGGCTGTTTTGACAACTTTGATGCAGACATACATGTGTCATCTAAGAATGGATAACACATTAGTAAACATGACATGGCCAAATCAGTTGAATACAACGCAGTGGTACACAAAAAATATTAACAGGCAAAGTGCCAGAGGTCTAGAACTCGAGAACTGACAAAGAAAGAAAGCTCTGACGTGTATGTAACCCTTAAAAGTGGTGGCACATAGTCACTGCAGTATGTTAGATCGATGCAGAGGGATTTGCCTTAATTTTCAAAATGCGCTCATCTAAAGAGACAACCCCAAATTTAATAGGTGCAATATCATACTTACTTTAGAATGTTATACATCGAAAGAAAAAACTTCCTTTCTGCCATCTCTGGATATGACATCATCAGATCATACAGAAAGGACAGCTTTGATTGAAGCTCAACGGTTGACAGCTCAAGCTAGACAAGACTTCACCATGTTCACAAGCGATCAACACTTGTATACAGAGTTTGTCAGAATTAGTCATTGTGACATATATCCAGATAGGGCAATTTGTAGTCAAACTTTCTTAACTCTTTTATCTTTTTTTCTGTGATACAATAAACTTGAATGTTGATGTGGAGAACTGGAAGGAAGGGGATTAGGCACCCAGGTTCACAAGTACATGTACTGCCAGTGTTCTTCAGTTCTCTTCCTCCCAGAGGGTTTATTGTATCTGTATAAAAGTAGTCAGGCCCCGAGACTGGGGCTACCTGCAAAGAGTCGGGCAGGTGGTGTTGTAAAGTTGTTACACAGTATTCATTAAACAATAAACATACACAATAAATATGAAACAGTAATAACCAATTCGTGCCACACTTAGATTAGAAAACAGCATACATTTAACAGAACAGACATGAAGGCAGCGCCGGCTACATGGGTCAGGGATGCAAGCAGTCAGGTCAACCCCGCGCGCTGGCTGACCGACTATCGTACACACACTCACCGCACACACTCCAACCCTCCTCGGGTATCCAACACGGCCGCCATGCCTACTATTAACTTGACAGCGAGCAGTCCAAGGTTCAAGGGTAACTACACTTAATCCCATACATGTAAAGGTGTTACAGTTAAAAAAAATCCAAATCTAATCACACAATCCAATAATAGACATCTTTGCACGTTAACCCATGTGACGTCTTAACACATCCACAACGCACGTACATGCACATGTCCCTATTGTCAAAAATCAACGTTAAAGCTCCAACATTACACTTCTTCGAACTTCACCTCAATTTCACATTTTCAATCCAACAAAAGCCATCCCCATCCTTATCAAATCTGTTTATGATAAACTGCCGTAAAGGTAGTAGGCCATCTGACCCAAAAGTTTCCACAAAATAATGAAATTTACGCTACAAAAGGGAGTAAAAGGAACGACATGATTACCTGCAAAAAGGCGGTGCCAAAACCAGCGTTTTGGGGCGGCATTTATGTGCCCGCGTAGTACAGTCTAAACCCTTCAGAAAAACTAAAAGTTGATATTAGGCCGCCAAACCTCGGAAATTTACAACAAACAGAACTCCGATAAAAAATAAACAAATGCTATTACATTGCAATGTCCTTGGCCCGCATTTCCAATTATTAAAGCTTATAATGAACTACACGTACTAAATAAAAGATCATGGCGCAATGTTTTCCGGACAACCAGTTATAAACAAAGCTAAGGACGACAAGGAAGGACATGAAACAAATTAAAACGGTATCATTGGGATAGCAAAGTAAGACCGATCTTACAAGGATTATTTTCAGTTTAAAGTGCAGTGTATCTTCTAGCATAAAAGAACTTTGCTTCTTTTACGCAGACAAATAGTTCCAGAAATATTTCACTTTTAGTGAATATCAAATATATTTAATTTAACTTTGAACAAATAGTTGCCCTGTCCCTCTGTTACAGCCGATGGTGTAATGATCGGTTAACAATGTAATCCGGCGAATAATTGTAATAACCCAAAGGACCCATAAAGCTTGGGTTATTACATTATTTGTCGATTTTTATTACATTATCGGCCGGTATTAGTAGTGGGGGGACGATCCAGTACACTTTTGACCTTTGACCTCGACAAAGCAATAAATAAATAGGTATAAATAAATATGAATAATAAATAAATGAATAGCGTGGGGTGAAAAAATGTGATACGGATTGACCTTTTGTATACTAATTGAAAGAAAGGGTACGGTTTGACTTAGTGTACAAATATAATTAGGGTAAAAATATGAAATGGGGATTTGAAAGTGGTAAAATGATAATCAATAGAAGAGATAAAATGATAATCCCTACACAATGGACAGCCCAGACAGCCGGACTGGAAGCGAGAAAATCCTTAGACAATGAACCGCGCGGACCGCCGGGCTGGAATCAAGCTTTGAAGCGAGATAATCCCCGGACAATAGATGGCTTGTGGTGCCGGGGCTAAGAGATGGAGATAAGCCTTAGATAATTTGGGTAATTCGGAAGACGACGACAGGGCGCGCTTGTCTCACAATCGTTAACACGGCTCCTTCTGCTGGCGGATTTTTTATTACGACATAAAAGATGCGGGGTTTATTGAGATGAATAAGGGGCACGTAAAGGAAGTTAATTCGTCGTGGGGAACGCGTAACAATCCGATGGTTTAGCAAACACTAAACAATATTAATAATAAAATTTGGGCGTGAGAGGGAAGTTTTAAGGCAGTGGTTTTGACGCAGTAACTCAGATGTATTTTTGATTCGAAAGGTAACAGAGATGGATATGTGCGGGGAAATACCAAACGGGCAAACGGAGGGGTGTCCTCGATTAATGTACCTGACCTCCAAAATAACGGAGCGACAGCTCGCAGGATTGGCGGGTAATCTCGTCAAAGAACAGGAGGGAACGAAACCTTGGGAAGACCCCCTCATATCATCTCTCAGTCTTTCTACCGCCGATTTGTTTAGACACAAGGAAGAAAGTAAGTATTATCCGTGGGCGCAATGTTTTAGCGCATTCGTTCAATGCAAACATATCAACTGTTGTGGCACTGCTGCGTCTTGAAACGGAAAGAAGGCAAGCAACACCTGGAAGCACACGATATTAATGTCAAGTTCTGACCCATTCAATCATTTGCGGTGAAATAACGTATAATTGTACCTTGGTGTTGTGAGTGCATTACAGGTGTTCAGGACCATTTGGACGTTGAATAATAAGATTTGCTTTGATAAAAAAGACTGAGCAGAGTTGTGAAGGAGCATATGGAGGGAGTGGCCCTGTAATCTATATTGTAGCGTGTCCTGTCTATGGGCTCTGACGCTGACAAGAACTACTCGGTCAGGCTCAAATCTCCGTTCCGGGCAAAATTGCTCTGTTTATTTCCCCGAAAGCCAAAGTGCTGTCTCACACACACAGCTCCAGACACGAGGTGTCTAGACGGGGACTGCGCAGGCGCGAGGCGAGAAAGCCGCAAGCCGTTCGCATACCAGCGGAGGCAGCCTGCTAGCTCCATGCGGGTCCGAGCTGGCGCCCCCACCGGCCGAACCTGCCGGCGCTACAGTATATTGTGCCCAGAGGAATCTGGCGAGGATTGGATCAGAGTTCACAAGGTAACGTTTTGCTCACACTCTTGCATAGAGTACTCAGTGTGTTGTGTCATAGTGTCGAGTTGAGTGTAGTCGCAGTACAAGATTCAAAAATGTGTCTCATTAGTAGAAATACGGTGAGAAAATTACGCATCCATAAGTAAAATGAGTTTGACTTAGCCGATGTTGGGATGTAAAGATCACAACATGCTCGATTTCAGCTTCAAAGTAATTTGTCATCTCAACATTTAATTATGATAAACGTGTTTTCAGTAACCAGCAGCCGATATTCTTATCTTTTTATGTGCTCCAATTCCTTGTTTAATATTTGGCTATTTTTAAAAAGATATAAGTATGAGCAATTATGTCTCAATATGAAAGCGTACATGTAATGAATGGCCTTGGTGATGGGTATAAAATGTCTCCTGTGTTTATAGACGACCAAGATGGCTACACTATGCTGCATGAACGATGCTTGAATTGTCATGCGTGGTCTTGCGGGCTTCCACTGACTGCTTATCGCGAAAATTATTATTTTATGGATAGGAAAATGGGAAATCAGACACAAAACTAAATTTTGATTAATACATGTACGTGTATATCTTATTTTATGGCCTGTGGTCCGTTTGGCACTATTTCATCTCTTGAAAAAAATGACAGCATTGCTTTTACTTGATGCCTTTGGAATTATACTAAAAACTGCTATTTCGGTGAACAAAACTGCTATCTTAATTGATTTAACACCCGGCTGGACCTGCTCCTTGTAATTTTGACATCTTTGCCCCAATAATCTCACCCCAACAGATGGGTCCATGACCAACTTCAGACCGACTCTTGACCGTGCAAGTACATGAAAACATGGTTGCTATTAAATTCATAAAATTGGGTGCTTCCGCTATAGTGCTCAAGATTTGCAGTGCTATGCTTAAGACCTTTCATGTCTCTGTGTCAAGACATGCACGCATTGAATGGCTTGATAGGGCCTTCGTATGTGTACAGTGATATTCAATGTGTCAGGTGAAAGGAAAGGACACTGGGAAATCGTTACATTTTATCACAATCGCACACACGTTCATTTTTGGCAAAACAGAATCGGTTTTCAGCTTAGTTTTATTCTTTTCATGACTTGCGTATTGTTTGTTGCGTACAACAATCATGTACAGAGTGGATGCCAAATTTAATTCTATTCAAAGTATACAATAAAGGAGCAATATAAATTCGACCACGCTTAGCCGGACACTATGCATGCCCAGACGCAAGGCACTGCACTGCAAAGTAAAAATATTAACGTTGGATATAAAGCAGAGATCAAAGCAGGGTTATTAAAGGCATATTGCAGTAAACTGTTGATTTCTTCAAAAACGAGTTCAGTGATCGACGGTGGACAGATCAACGTGCAAAGCTGAAATTAATCTGTATGTGAAAAACGGTAAAACACAGTTTAAAACCTGAAATTATTAAACTTTTAATAATACAGTTTTAATATTTGGGACCTTTTTCGAAGTTGCATGTATTTTACTGTTTAGAAATACAATAATTCTGTACATTTAAAATGTGTATAAAATTGTTTGGCAACTTTGACAAGTTACTTTTAATTTTGATTTAAACTTCAAAAAAACTCTTCAAAGAATTATTTTCCTTTTTTAATCTGTAAAATCAAACACCTTTATTAACAACACTAAAGATATGTTAGTACATGTACGGTGAAATTAGAAACAATCTTAGTAGTTGTATTTTAGTGAACAGATAAAATCATTGTAAATTTGAAATAAAAAATTAACATAAATGTGAAAACACATTGGCAGAACGTGGAGTACGTACCCCTGTTCTTTTCAGAACCGCAAATACTTACAAAAGAGATATGTCCATGGTGCTACCGCAAACATTCTTTCTATTATACCTCTTTACCATGCATGCAAACTTTCAAGAGTTATCTAGAACAAAATGGTGTTTTTCGTCAACTGTCTGTACGTTACATTTTATGGTCAGGCATAGGCTGGATTTTTATACAATGTACTTGTGTAGCGATACAGCGAAGTTAAGTGACTGATTACAACAAAATACGTCTCAATAGTTGTGGCAGCACATTTTTCTCCCGTTTCAGTCATGTCCACTTTCCTGTGGTCCTCGAACCTATCTGTATCTTACATGTCAGATTATACACCAACGGAGTTTGTAATGTCTAAGATACGCGAACTCAGAGTTCAGAATCGCCAAACCAACATTAGCACACAGAATATTCTTCCACGAGTGGTTACTGAATTCTTGCGAGCTATTCCTTTACGAAGCTAGGGCAGCCAACTCTGAGGAACCCAAGTGCCGTCATTTGAAGAAATAATTCTTGGTTTTTCTGAGTTTTTTTTCTGGACAAGTGCAATCCTATAGTTGTAAGGGGGTTAAATACTAACAATGAAGGCTATGAATTGACAATCTTTTTCTTCCATTTCATGAATGACAGGTTTTGGGTGTATTGCATACACTGCCGTAGGTACACATTGCACTCTGTTGCCCGATTTAAAATATTTATAGCCTTGCTAAGTCACTGATATAATTATTTATAGCATTACGTTCGAAAAGTGTTGTACCGGAGTCACCCGGAGTTCACTATCCGCCCAATATTTTAAACTATTTTTGATGTATAAAGGCAAATACAGAAAAGCAAATTAATTGTTAGGAAAATAATAGTCCTTCAAAATTCGGTTGGAAAGGAAATCTAAATTTTTAGAAGTAGGAACAACCCAGCTCTAACAAATTACGCATCTTATCGATCACTCATGCATTGCACCTTACCGAATCTAAGGCTTAGGGTTATATCTTTGTCATTTGAACGTGTAAAGAC